AAATATAAATTTTTACCCAAAGTTTAGAAACACCCCAAAACACCAACATATCCCCATAAATCATACATCCCTGGATAGCTCTGATCTGGGCAAACAACATATCCAAAAATCACCCGGATCAGAGCAGGCGTTCCTGAATTCTATGGAAGTCACATTTGACTGACCGCAGGCATGGCTTTCATGCCCCAAATAGTTCCACAGATTTAGGCTGTACGGCTAGTCTATCTTCTCCTTCAAATGATGTACAAATTGCACGAATGGATCCGTTCACGTATAACTTCATTGAAAACGTCTCGTTCGTTAGTTTGTTCTCCCAGAATAGCGCTCTGTTCATATGGATTTAGACGAACGCACGGAGGGTGGAAGTCTCAGTGGTGTTCGTGGGAAACAGTAGCTGATTATTGTTCCAGACGTTCAACGACAAAACACAGCTGAGCGTTCATATGAACGCCGACCACCCAGCTATTTGACAATTAAGCTACAGTTAACCACTTCTGGGTGGTTAACAAGCCACACACTCCACATGCAGGGTGGTCGGTCGTTAGGCAGTTTGTTCGTCTGTTTGCACAACATCATCCTGGCTATTATAGAAGTTAGAACTGCACGAACCAATAAACGAATATACCAGGGGGAATGTAAAATCCAAGCAATTAAGGCAAACAATGCAATCTGGGAACAGAGGGTTCTGTCCCAAGTGCCTTAAGACCCAATACTTTAAAGGGGCCATAGTCACAGGGCAAGAGGCTGGCAAGCAGGCCTCTCCAAATCCCAGTGACGAAGGTACTTTCGTCACACTGTCTGTCAGCGTCTTTAAGGATGGGGTTATAGTTTGTTTCCAGTTTAAGGTTTTAAAATGACGGGCTGCCAGGGATACAAATTTGCGTAAAGCATCTTGTGAGAATAAGCCAACACTTGTGAGCATCTTGTGAGAATGAGCCAGGCTCAAAGAGCAGGTAATTGGGTTCAAAAAACACTGGTGGCATTTTCAATACAGAAAGAAGTTTCTCCACTTCTACCATAGTGGTCGGAATTTTTGTGCACGACCAACATATGTGTATCATAAACCCTTCCTACAACCCGCATCTTCAACACATAAGCGACACCTTGGGGAAGATGTTATGCAAACTAGTGGGGGTTAATTACCACTGGTATATGAGTTTATGATATGCTTCCATGTGGTGATAACGTCGGGTCATCCCCCTGAGAGCATTTAAGGAGTTTAAACAGCCCTCACCAGAGAAGTCAACACCATAAGCAGTTGCCTATTTTTCTTGGAATTAAAATTTGTTATAAGGTAAAGCATCTTCTAGCAGTCTGTAGCTTAGAGAAAGTATTTTTTTGTTTCAATGGATGCTTCCAGCACCTGTCTATGAATAGTTTTAGTTGGAGCAGGGTTGTCCAAGAGGGGCGTATTAGCATAACTAGGTGGGAGTGGAGCACACCCTTCATTTGTAGGTACATGACAATTTAGTTATGTTGAAGGTTGAATAAGGATTGGAGGTTAGGAAATGTATTTATTGTATGGCCTGTTAATATTTAGGATATGTGAGTAATCCGTACTTCACATTATCTCTGTAGTGGTAACCATGGAGATAAAGTTGTCATGGATTGCAGGGGGGCCACGGTAAAAAGTTTCCCAACGCTATAAGTCTTGAGCAATTTGTCTCACGTCTGGATGTGATGGACCGACTGGGTACCTCTGTCAAGCTCGCTTCCTAGCTCTCCTCTGGGACACAGGAGTCGCAACTTGGCTGGGGTCTCTCCGTCGTTTCCTGACCTGGAACAGGGTCCTCGGCACAGCTTCAAGTGATTAAGCTCTCCTGCAGATCCATGCAGCTGATCCACCCAAACACTAGCCCAGACTGAGTGAAGTGTGTAAAGGAACTGATTTATTATGGCCAAGTTGCTTGCTTATATACACAACCCCCAACAGGGGGTCTCCACACAATACAATGCAAGCCACTCCCAAAGATCTCTGTGCCTGGAAGATAATTGAGTTAAAGACTGGTAAGCTAATTATCTCCAAGACACATTGTCACGATTACCAGGAGAACCTAAACACGCAGACAGATCAGACACACAGAATTGCAATACCGGTCCTTGGAATGGCTGGGCTATACAAAAGAGATAGAGTAGTCAGGGTACAAGCCGAGGTCAAGGACAACAGAGAGACGGAATATGGAAGGACAAGCCGAGGTCAAGGTTCACAGAAAATAGAGTAAATAAAAAATGAGCAGAAGTCAGTATATACAGCTTATATACACATAGGGTGTACCTGATTGGCTAACTTCCAATTAGTGTTACTTACAACACGTGGGAGGTGTTTTTTCTCTCTCTTGTGATCTCTGAGGTCATCACTGTGTGCCAGGTCACATGACCGGGTCTGGCACACATATATGGAAGCTGCCTTGGAGCGTGCAATGTCAGAAACAATGGGACAGCCGCAAGCCATGGACAGTGACCGGAAGATGCCACTCATCATGATGGGGTAAACAAAGACACCGTGAGCGGCACGGGGGCGGGGTACCTGTCACACAGAGAGGTAAAAATAAAATACAAAACATAAAAATACCCCAAAACATCATAAAAATATTAAATACCCTTACAAATAATCCATCCCCAATTAGCCCTGATTTGAGCGCCCAAATTCTCCAAATAGCGCTCAGATCCATGCAGTGTAGGGGAAATGCCACCGTGTTATCAAAGTTCTGACTTTTGGCAGCTCCTGCAGCAACAATACAGGGTGCTGTGCCTTGGTCTCTAGTAGTGTTTGTACCCCTTAGTCTCAGGCACCTTCCCTCCAAAAAGCGATCTACTGGTGGATTCAACACTGCGAACCAAGTTATCCGGGAACCGCAGGGTCATCTCATGCCGAAAACGGTTCCACAACATTCGTGATCAAGTCCTGCTTAGGTTACCGGGAACCCACGAAATCTTCATGCCGAAATTAGTTCCATAGCAATTGCGGCTAAGGTACTTATTCGTGGGTTTGGTTCATGTGAACGTCTGCCAGAGAGCCAGCATACGGTTCCATTCACATGAAGGGAAAGTGCTGAACCAGGGGCACCCAGGGCAAGCTACTAATGGCAGCTGGGGAGGTTTAACTCATAGTCCTTGGCAGAAGGCTAGTTAGCAGGCTTCTCTAGAAACTTGTGGCATAGGCAGGTTTTCCACACTTGGAAGGAACAAGGTAGGGATGTCTGGTCTATATAAGGTGTGTGTCCAGAGGCTTTCCACTAAGGAATGCCCCTTTGAATGTTTTTCCATAACCACACAGCCCAGTGATCCATCACCTGCAGTATGGCAGATTTATAATATAAGGAAATGTTGTGTACCCCCATACCAGCTTTTGAGGTAGATTGTTGGAGGAGAATTAGCGGTAATCTAGTTTTCTTGTTTTCCCAAATTAATTGGGTGAGTACCTTTTGGAGTTGCTTGCACTAAGAGGGGGAATGGAAATAGGAAGGAGCCTAAAACATATAAAATATATGGAAGTATCACCATCATTATTGTGTTTGTCCTTCCTGCCCATTAAGTTCTGATTTGCATTTCTGCAGGAGTAGGGCATGGTTATGCTTGAAGAGGGTAGGTATGGATTTAGTAAGGTTGATTCCCAGGTAGGTGATATATGAAGCACGCCATTCGAATTAGAAGTTGGCTTTGAGATAAATCAGTGTTGAGGGGCTGAGTTTAATTGGTAATGTTTGGGTTTTTGAGTGGTATAGTTTGTAGAAGGAGATAGTACCATATAGGTTCAGGACCAAGAGGGCAGCTGGCAGGGACCTGTCTGAGTCACTTAGTGTTTCGAAAAGCGAAATTCTATCATTTATGCAGTCAATTTTGACGCCGCTGATGTCTGTATGTGTCCCTATGGTTTGCACTAAGGGTTTCAGGGAAAGGAAGAAAAGGAGATGGGATAATGGGCAACCCTGTCTGGTACCGTTGGAGATGGGAAATGGCTGGGAAGCAAAGCCTGCATTCAGTACTCATGCTGTTGGAAGGTTATACAATGCCATTATACCTTTTATGACACCTTGGGGGGAATCCATATTTGTCTAATACCCTAGTCATATATCCCCAATGGAGCCTGTTAAAGGCCTACTCTGCATCAAGTGCTATTAGAAGGCCCCGGGTTTTGGCATTGGCAAGTAATAAGGTTAAGAAGTTTCCTGGTATTGCCAGATCCCTGTCAGCTGCACACAAACCCAGATTGGTCGTTAGATATCAGCTTTGGCAGGAGTTTAAAAAGTCTATTGGCTATCAACTTAGCATGTAACTTGGTGTCGCTGTTGAGAGGGATGTGCAGTGGTGTATTTAGGATTTGTGCTGCCCTAGGCAGGACAGTGCTCGGGCAACCCCCCTAATTTAAATTTTCCCCACCCCTTCCCGTCAAGGCCGCACTTTAACTGACAGACGCTCACTCACTAACCGACGCGCACACACACTCACAGATACGCACACACTTACACACGTGCACACACATACACACATGCACACACATACAGACACTTACACACATGCACACACATACAGACACATACACACATACAGACACTTACACACATACAGACACACATACACACACACACAAAATTATTATTTTTTTAATTTAAATCCACTCAGCTTCCCTGAGAGAGCTGGAGTGGATTGCTTACCTGTCCAGTAGGGCTGCTGGGAGGGCAGGCAGGGGGCAGACTGGCTGAGTAGGCGGCGAGGGAGCTTTAATCTTCTTGCTCAGCTCCCTCGCTTGCCGTTTACTGATGCTGGGAGCCGGTCTGATGTCATATTCCGGCTCCCGGCTTCATTAAGCGTCGTGAAGGGAGCTGAGCAGGAAGAGCTCAGGTGAGTATACTCCCTCACTGCTCGCTGCCCGCCTAGGGGGGGGCTCGAAAGTGGCCAGCTGACCAGCTCTTGAGCCCCCTAGGGCACAAGGCAAGCAAGGGATCTGCCACCCAAGGCAGATGCCCTGTTTGCCTCGTGATAGACACGTCCCTGGGGATATGGGTTGGAAATTAGCACACTGAGTCAGCGGTTTTGCCGGTTTGGGGAGGGTATAGTTATGTGCTTGTAGAATTTTCATGGGTAGGTGTCCCGACGAAAAGCTGGTATTAAATATCATACATATGTGGGCGGAGAAAACATCTTTGAATATCTAGTAGTATAAATTAGTTAAACAGGTAGTATATTAAAAAAAACATAACTTATATCATGTGGTCAGACCCTTCGTTACTTAGTTAATAGAAGCTGCTGAGTATTCTCTCCCCGATCTACCGGCAAAATCAGGTTATAAATCAGATGCTGCAGAGACTGCAGCATGTGCCATGACTGGATCCTTTATATAGAGTTATGTATGACATCATTACAAAGTTTACTTTAAAAAAAATTATGTACACAATAAATAAAAAATAATTTTTAGAATAATAAAGTAGTGATCTCACAAAATTAAATGTGTAATAATTGGATGGAAAATTAAACATGACTATATTATAAATGGGTTTTTTTTGGGTTTTTTTAAACCTTCTCTATTTTTTCTTTGTTTTACAGCAGCTGGTCTGAACTGTTCAGGTGAGTATATACAAACAGTAAATCTCTATGTCTATAATTTAAAGATTGCTATTATCATGCCCACTATCATGTCTACATTATATGTACTGTGTATTTCAGTACATTCCTAAAAATGATCTTGCTGCCATTAACATTTGCTTATTCTATGTAGTAATCCAAAACTTGTCAATAGGTAGATCCGTCTAGTGAAATGTTAAAATGGTCCTGGATCCAATTCTGAAATTTGTCTCCCCTTGCTGTGCAATTAACTGTACTAGCAATTTTTGTTTGTCAATCTTTTTTTTTTTTTTTTGATTGAGGTAAGCCAGCTGATATTACAGACAATGAATTAAATGTAAATGTGTTACACAAGATTGTAAGGTATATTACATACGATAAAGAGACCTCATTTTTTTTGTTAGATACAACAGACAAGCTAAACTGGCATGACTAAACTTTAAACAGATAACATGCTGATAACAGGCTAGTCTGGAATGGACAAGTAACCGTTAGATAAACGGTAGTAGATGTACAGCATGTGCTCGTAGAAAATAAATAATATGAGAGCCCTTGCTTAACGTGCCAGAGAAATATGTAGGAAGTCTAACCAATGGAGTAAGGCTAGGGACTAATGAAAGTAATTAGAAAATTTGGCAGGCTAAATGGGCCAAACTGTTCATATTTGCACATTCTATTTTTCTATGTAGATTGAAGCAGCACCAAACAGAATAGATGTACTAGCGATGAATAGGTTAAATTATTATAATTATCCACCTGGCCGCAAATCAGAATTGCAAACTGGTGCAATTGTGTGATATGTACTTTACTACGTCAGGCTGCGGCTAGTAAAATATTTCAAGGATTAATACAGGATACCAGCATCTTGTGGCGGGGTCTGTATCAGACCCAGAATAGCCCGCTGGATTTACTTTTGATGACAATGGCTCCCAATATGTATGCAAAACAAAAATGCCAGGGAAAACCAATGGTGCAACAGCTAAGTGCGCGATATTAATTATATTGCACAAGTATACAACACCTAAATTTAAAGCAACACTCCACACCATAAAACATTTCAGCTTGCTAAAGTGCTCTCTGCATAAGGAGTATTGTTTTATACCCAGTTTACAAAAGTGCAGGTTGCTTTGATAAATCTGTACTTTTATAAATAAATTATGGAACACCCACCTGGCTGTCATTTATACAGCCAGTTAGGTCTACTAGTGTCCTCAGCTCCTCCACAGACCTCAGATCAGGTGCATGTGCGCATGTGACAGTGAACAAGTGCCTATGAACTGGCACACAAACAGAACTGCACAGATTCAGAGGCTTCTCAATAATAAGGCGTCCCTGTCTCTTATATTAAGATCAGGCTGGAATGGTCCTTTAAGATCACCAACAAGTTGACACAACCAATGTACTTTCCCAGCATTCCTAGGGATAGGACATGGATTGGTTAGATCAGTATCCACCTGCAATGGTTGTGGAAAGCATAAGAAAGAAGAATTAGGTAAATATGGAAAAGAAAAGCCTCAAATTTAGCTGCTTTGGAAAACAACAATATATGTGAACACAACCCCAGTGAAAATAATAAAATATAGGAGCAAACCAAAACTTCCCTTATCTTAAGGTGAAGTATCCAGATGAATCCCCGAAGACTTCCTCTTGTCTTCAATAGATATACACAGAAAAATAGGGGACAATCTGCTAAATACAAATAAAAAACATAGCATATAACTGTGTGGAGACTGGTATTGATGTGTGATCACAAATGGTCACTCACAATTTTGAAGATTTAAGATAGCCTTGAATGATGTCTTTATGGAGTTAGAGCAGCTTTAAATGGTGTTATTCAATATCCAGTATGTTGTCTCTCCTCACATATTCATCAGCGAAATAGATATGTGTGTCTCAAAAAGAGAAAATGTACAAAAATGTAGTGCACTTCCAGAATATGTTAAAAAATATATTTAATGACTTACATTTAGGTATAAAACAAACAGCATGTCACCATACACGTCCTACGCGTTTCGTCCTGAAATTGGACTTCCTCAGGGACTTGGTGTAATAAAGTGCAATCAGAAATAGCAGCAATAATAACAATATCCCCCCCACAGTCCTTTATATACACCCCCATTTAATCTTTAAGTTCTTTCAGCTGGTATTCGATTTTCTTTTCGGCGGTATGAGACCGAGTGACGTCATCGCGTGCGCCGCGTGCGTTCCACCTTGCGTTCCACAGACCCGGAAGTGGGTCGCGTGCGTTCCACCTTGCGTTCCGCACACCCGGAAGTAGGTCGCGATCGTCTGTTGCTTTCTCCTATTCTAATGCATTAGCTCAGAGAATATATAGGCAGGTGGATAAAACGGAGAGGGGAGGGACAAGCAATTAAAAGAATATACTCTGGATGGCACTACAAACCAAAATAAAAAATGTACATTCTCCATATAATCTATAGTTATGGATACATGTGTATATACATATATATATCCCATTTTCATTGGGTACAAGTTTTATAAGACATTTTTTCACATATTTGCCACACACATTTCCTTCTTATGATTTATATGGAAATAGCATCTTATTTCATAGAATGCATGAGTAATAATATAATAGTCTAACATTTTTAAATGATTATAAAATATATAACAAACCATATACATACATATATGATATATAGACATTAATATGAGTAATATAACCTATTTTTTTATTGCACTCTTTATCCCATTCTTAAAGATAAATAAAGTAAATTTATAACTCAAAACAAAAATAAATGAGTATAATAAAAACTAATAATAATAAAAAATATATAAAATAAGTAATAATAAAAAATAATTAATAATTAATAATAAAAAATAATAAAATAAAAAATAAATAAAAATAAATAAGAATAAATAAAAATAAAAATAAATATAAAAAATATAAAAAAATAAAAATAAAAATGAAAATAAAAATGAAAATAAAAATGAAAATGAAAATGAAAATGAAAATGAAAATGAAAATAAATATAAATAAAAATAGAAATAAAAATAAAAATAAAAATAAAAGTAGGGATGAAAAATAAAAATAAAAATAAAAATGAAAATATACATCAGGATGTAAATTGGGTAGTTCTCTCAATCTTCAAAGAAACTCCATAAATCGATGTCTAAATTTAAACCAAAAGGTTGGAGTGTTTTTAGTTTGTTGATCCAAAAAATCTCTCTTTGAGAGAGCTTTTTGGTTAAATTTCCTCCTCTCCAATGTGGGTCCACATGTTCTATGCCCAAAAAAGTAAAACTTTGCCAATCAAATTTATTGCAAGTATTGCAATGTAATGGCACTATATGTTTAACTGATTTTTTTCTTATATTATTTTGATGTTCTAAAATTCTCTCTTTTAACTTTCTACATGTTCTCCCCACATACTGTTTCCCACATGGGCATTGTAACATGTATACCACGTTTCTCGTATTGCAATTTATATTAGATTTGATTTTGAATTTCTCCTTTGTAGTGAAACTCATAAATTCTTTTTTTTGAACAAATTTTTTATTTTTACAAGCCTTGCAAGAATTGCAAGGGTTGAAACCACTGATGTTTGGGGTCACACCCTTATATGGAATTTTTAAAGCGTAACTTGGTGCTAATACATTTTTTAGATTTTTTGTTCTCCTGAAAATGATTGGTATTTTTTTTTGGTAATACTTTGCCCAAAATAGGATCCTGACATAAAATGTTCCAGTGTTTATTAAGAACCTTTTTTATTTTCCAGTGTTGGATGTTATACTGAGTCATAAAAGAAAAATTATAATTATCCTTAGAATGTTTTTTGGGGTTAGATGTTATTAGGTCTCTTCTGTTTCTTTTTCCTATTTCTTTAATTTCTTTGTCTAACAATGTTGTTTCATATTTCTTTGCCACAAATTTATTTTTTAAAAGTTCAGCCTGTTCTCTATAGTCCGAGTCCTTCGTACAATTTCTTCTCACTCGTATTAGTTGGCTTTTTGGTATGGTTTCCAACCACTTATCTTTGTGGCAACTTTTTCTATGGATGAAGCTGTTACCCTCTGTTTTTTTGAAAAAACATTTGGATTGGATCTGATTATTTTCAATGGAGAGGCTTAGATCAAGAAAATTGATAGTGGTGGTGTTTATTTCATGTGTAAATTTTAAACCATAATCATTTTGATGAATGTAATCAATAAATGATAACAAATCTTCATGTGTACCTCGCCAGATCAGAATTATATCGTCAATAAAACGTTTCCATAGGACCAGGTTCGCTACCCAGCCATGCCCACCCCACACATGTTTGGACTCCCAATCCCGCATGTATATGTTTGCATAGCTGGGGGCGAACCTGGTCCCCATGGCTGTACCTGTAGTTTGAAGATAAAATGAATCATCAAAATAAAAATAATTATGTTTGAGGATATAATGGATACTATTTAAGATAAAATTCCTGAAGTTTAATGATATACTTTCATCTTTCTCCATAATCTGTTCCACTGCTGCTAAACCTTTGTTGTGTTTTATTATTGTGTATAATGACGTAACGTCTATGGTTGCCCAGATATAGTTAGATTCCCAAGTTACACCCTCCAAAATTCTTAAAATGTGTGCAGTGTCTTTCAAATAAGAAGATGCTTCTTGTGCATATTTTTGGAGATGGTGGTCCACAAATTCAGATAAGTGGGCGGATACAGAGTTAATGCCACTGATTATTGGCCTACCTGGGGGGGTTATTGGATTTTTATGTAACTTAGGGAGAAAGTAAAAAATAGGTATTATTGGAAAATTATTAAAAAGATATTCTTTATTGTTTTTAGAAATTATATCATTTTTATAGGCTTGATTTAATAGGGATCCCAAAATGATGTTGAATTTTTTAGTTGGATCTCCTGTAAGTTTAATATAAGTTTCTATATCTCCCAAAATTCTATACGCCTCCTTCATATAATATTCTTTTGTCATAATGACTATCGCTCCTCCTTTATCGGCTTCCTTTATTACTATGGTGTCCATCTTTTGTAATTTAGTTATACTTTCTGATTCTTCTTTACTCATATTATATTTATTTTCTCCTAACTTTTTTTCTTTTTCCAATTTTTCTAAATCATGGCACACCATATTGTTGAAAGTTTCTAAAAAAAGGGCCTCTATCCCCTACTGGATAGAACTGTGATTTCTTTTTAAATTGTTTTTGTTCTAAGGTGGTGTGATCTATGTTTTTGGGGGATATATTTTCTTCTATCTCTCTTTTTAAGAAAAACCTTTTTAATGTCATTTTACGAATGTATTTCTGGACATCAATATATGTATTAAAAAAATTCATTTTTTGATTCGGGGCAAATTTTAAACCCTTACTTAAGGCTTTTAAATCGATATGGCTCAACTCTATATCTGTTAAATTGTAGATTCCATATTGTTTCTCTAATATCTTTGTCTCAGGGAGTCCTCTCTCCTTGGATTCTCCTCTATTCTTTTTCTTTTGGGGGGAGTTGCGTGAATATCTAGTATGGTTTCCTGGTGATTGTGACGTGGTTTGAAAAATTGGGTTATTCTCCCATCTCTGTGATGGGGCCCTCCCTCTAAAAAAAGATTTTCTCTTTCTTCTGGATGTTCCAGGCTAGTTTTTGTTGCTTGAGCATACGATCTCCTAGGGGGGGAGTCACATCGATTTGGGGAAATCAGTTCTCTCCTACCTTTCGGTTGGAAAGAATTTTGGGTTTGTGCGGTATTATTTGAAGTAAATGTTTTTCGTCTCGTGATAAGTGGACTTTGTGTGTGGTTATTAGAATATCTTCTATTTTTAACAGGTGAATTTCGTGTGTGATTAATTGAAAAATTTCTTGCTTGCATAGGTGAAGTGTTTCTTTTATAGATATCAGATTTTCTAAAAAAAGTGTTCCTGTTTGGCCCCTCAAAGTTCCTATTGTTTCTATCAAAATTTCGTTTTTGTTTATTTTTGATTTTATTACTAGTGGAGAAAGTATTAAAAGTTTTATCTCTTCTATCTCTCTTCATTTTATTATTTTTAGTCTCCGCAATCCTTTCCTCTAAGTTCTTAATTGTATTGCAAATTTCTTGTTCTTTTTCTTTATATTTATTAGATTCTATATTTTGACTTCCTTCAGATTCTAAGATTTTTAGATCTATCTCTATTTGTTCTCTTTCTTGTTTTTTCAATATTAATTTCATAAGATTTTGTGAACATGTGTCTAGAATTGAATCCCATTTTTTTAGGAATTCTTCATTATCTACACCACATGCTGGAATCTTTTCCACTCTTAATCCTCTAGGGATTAATACCTCTTTAAGATAACCTTCCAAATAGGACAATTCCCACCATTTTTTTGTTTCTTTTACCATTAAACGTTCCAATTTAGTAAAATAATAGTTGTCAGAATCTCTTAAAGGGATATTATCTGTATTTTGTGAGAACATTTTTTCAAATCTTACGTTTCTACCTCTTTGTATATTTGAAAATGAGTGAGTTGCCATAATAGGTGTGTCACAAAAGTGAGGATTAAAATATACAAAGAAAACAACAATATATGTGAACACAACCCCAGTGAAAATAATAAAATATAGGAGCAAACCAAAACTTCCCTTATCTTAAGGTGAAGTATCCAGATGAATCCCCGAAGACTTCCTCTTGTCTTCAATAGATATACACAGAAAAATAGGGGACAATCTGCTAAATACAAATAAAAAACATAGCATATAACTGTGTGGAGACTGTTATTGATGTGTGATCACAAATGGTCACTCACAATTTTGAAGATTTAAGATAGCCTTGAATGATGTCTTTATGGAGTTAGAGCAGCTTTAAATGGTGTTATTCAATATCCAGTATGTTGTCTCTCCTCACATATTCATCATGCGAAATAGATATGTGTGTCTCAAAAAGAGAAAATGTACAAAAATGTAGTGCACTTCCAGAATATTCCATATTCCATATTCTGGAAGTGCACTACATTTTTGTACATTTTCTCTTTTTGAGACACACATATCTATTTCGCTGATGAATATGTGAGGAGAGACAACATACTGGATATTGAATAACACCATTTAAAGCTGCTCTAACTCCATAAAGACATCATTCAAGGCTATCTTAAATCTTCAAAATTGTGAGTGACCATTTGTGATCACACATCAATACCAATTTAGCTGCTTTATCCAGTCTGCAGACTAAGGCATCTATATCATTCAAAGCTAAAGCTTTTGAATGAGACGGTTTTCTCAAAGTTATGCATGTTCCTTAATGAGATTTGAATGGCTGTTCAAACTGTGGAACTTGAAGTTCACAATGGATAAGATTGGATCAGCAAAGAATATTATGTATATATAGTGGATACATTTTGCCACTGTATGTGGTGGTAGTCACCATCTCAGGAACCATATAAACTCTGCCCTTCTCTCTGGCAGCTATTTTAGTAACTGCTGGCCTCCACAGTCTTGCAGGATCCCCCATAGACCTCAATGCTGTACCTTTGCCCATTCATGAGAGTACAGCAGTGACGTCAGCACCAAGGAGGACCATGCCGGACCAAGATGGCGGAGACCTTGAGGTACAGGTTCAGGTTAGTAAACTCACTTTTACCTCGGCAGCGATGTAACCGATGGGGGACGAATTTGAAGTTCTCAAACGGTGACAGTTCTGCTTTAAAAGTTAATTGCTATGCAAGCCTGGAGGGTCCATGACACACTTGCCAGGGGTGAATTTCTATTAGCTAGAGTCTTTTTAAAAATTTTATATTTAACTGTAAATTATATTCTACAGGAGCTACGGTGAAACCTGTTGTTTCCTTCTCACCAAACGTTGGAAAGATCTTTATAAAAGATGCTATAAAACTATATTGTAAGGTGGATTCCACAAATCGACAATCCTGGAGTTACTCCTGGTATAAAGACAATCATTATATAAACAACATTCACAGCTTTGTTATTACTATTAATTCTGCTCGTTCAGAACACAGCGGAGATTATTCGTGCAAGTTTGCTGATAGTGATATGAGTGATTCTCTCCGACTAGAAGTGAGTGATGGTGAGTTAACGAGATTAACTGAGAACATTTGGTAAACGATGCTGTCTGTCATTGATCCTGATGTCTTCTAATGTGTGACAACATTTTTTTTATGTGCCATCCACATGCTGCAACTCATTGAATGGGGAAGAAATGGTTTATTAATTAATACGCAATTATCTAATATATAAAAATAATCACAGCCCTCTATTCCCAGCCAATAAAAATAAAAAACGATAGTCACTGTACACAGACCCTACATTATTGCCACGAGTGAGTATAGTGTTCCTTTAAATGTAATTTAACAGAATGTAACAGAATACAAAAGCAGGGCATTGTTTACAGTATTTGTCCAGGTTTCACACAAGTGCCTCTAAATTATTCTGAATCGGATTTGGACTTCAGCCAGATCAGAAGGTTGAATTCCAGATCCAAAAATAAGAGTCTGGGCTCAGAATGCTAAAATCCAGACTTTAAAAAAAAAAATCTGAACAATTTGCTTGCTAGTAGTAGTAGCAGCCAGTAGTTAAAAGCCCTCTGCTATGTGAGGGTTACGTTATGTGGTAAGTGGCCAGTGCTTACTAACCAGCCCCCACAGTAAAAATACTGTGTGACCCCCTCCTCCCCCATCTAACATAGGGAGATTAAATACCTTCCTTATATTTCCGCCTGCAGCATGGCGAGGCGAGTGCGGTTACTCACTTTTACCAACAGCAGCTTTGCTGCCTATTTGCTAAAAAGGCCCCATCACATGATGGGATTAATGGGAGGGATCTGGCACAAGTCCCTACATGCCCCCACATTAGGGTGGGAACTAAGTTTTTATAATGGTGGTGGACATGTCATTGGGACTCAATAGCAATATATAGGAGGAGATGCCAATATCCCCCCGTGCCCCCATAAATAGACTGTATGTGGTACCTTTATAATGACATTGAGGAGACATAGCTGTGTCCCTCTATCCCCCACTAATGAGCAATGGATGAGGACTAGAAAATACACAGAATGGGATTATTTCTCTCACGTGCCTGTTAATCTGCTGGATGCAGCCTCAATTTTCTCTGAATGCACAGCCAGTGGCAGGATGAGAGTATCAGCTGATGCCTATTATCGTCTTCCCAGCTAAACCTTCCTCATAATGTAGAGCCAGAGAGGAAAGAAGCTGGGGGGCAGCTGTGAAGGTCAAATGACAGCCGGACACTCCTGACTCCGTAATAACGTAAATGAGCTGAAGTTCTTATAGGCATAAGAGTGTTCCTTTTAAAATAATGACGGCAAAGAAATTATGAAAACATATATAATAAAAAACCAATAATAACAAAGTGCGGAGAGGAAAAGAAAGGGAAAAGGGAAGATGGGAGATCAACTACCGGGGTGCGACTACTAGCAGAACCAAACTCGAGACATAGGTAAGGACCTTAATCTCTCAGCTAATATATTTTTCCCATATACCCCATGTTTTGTGAAACAGGGTTAAACTGACTCAGACATTCAATGTCAGCTGTTTTCTGTAACTTGGTTATCTCTCACCTTTAAAGTAATATTTCCTTTATCTGCTACATGGAAATAAAACCCACGGTCTCCTGTGTGATTTGCTGACGTTTCTGTTTTAGGTTATGTCATCCTGCAATCACCTGCCACCCCTGTGTATGAAGGAGACAACCTGACCTTGAGATGTCGTCACAGGGAGGGAACGCCTAAAACAACCACATTTTACAAGGGCGGCAACAACATTTTATCATTCCAAACTGATTATTTAAATCTTGAAAGTGTGGATAAAACTGCTACCGGTATATACAGCTGTAAAAAATATATAGAGTTTACATTTTCTAAAAAAACCTATGAAGACTCAACATATATCACCATTAGAGGTAAATACTAACATGTTGCTTGTGTTTCATTGTGTATTCTATGACTGACTCTGTCATGGTTTTTCACTAAACACCAGACTTTGTCCGGATGGATGAAATCTGGTGAAAATTACCGAATTCAGACTACAATGGCAATTCTCATATTTACTAAAGACAAATACAGCTGGAATTTGGTCAGCCTGGGAGAATCTGCAGCAATCATCCTGATGCATTTGGTGTCCGAATTAAAATCAGTGCTTTCGCATCTGAGCCCTTGCAAGATCCAGGATTTGGTAGATTCATAAAGCACTTGTTTTAGTAAAATTTGGGACTGAATGCATCCAGTAGAATGAAAAAAAAAATGAAAAAAAATGTAAAAACACTTAGTGAAAATATAAATAAATGTTACTTTCCCTGAAATATAACAATCTCCAGGAATCTTCTAAATACCATACAACTGGGGAGATACAAAAAACAACCCAAAACATATCATAGGGCAATATGTCTAAATATAAACTCTAAATGCCACCATAAATGCACTCACAGTGTGAAAACATTTAAAGGCATATCACCAAATTTCTTCGCAAACAATTTTCGTGCAATGTCTTCTGGATATATAGATGATGAAGGCAGCACTTTTTATGAACGGATGGCAGTATAATCAAACACGGTCTTCTGGTCTATAAACCAAACGCGCGTGTAAAGCATCACAATAGTGATATGTTGCTTACAAATGGAAAAATATCTATTATGATGCACTTAGAAATAAATATAAATCTAAGCGTATATAGGACTCTCAGCTGACACAGTCTCAATCCCCCTGCCACTCCTCATGATGAGCAACAGAAGTGTAGTGAAGGGGAGAGATCCGATCCACAGGCATAATTCTCAGTACAATCCCAGAGATAAAAGCAAATAAAACGTTGTTTTATTGTAGTATTAGTCTACTGATAGTCTTATATATGCTTAGTTTTATATCTGTTTGTAAGTGCAATGTAATACATAGTTTTTCATTCATCCACTGTACTTCACTCTTCCACTTAGAATATCTATTTAAACATATTATCCACATGATATGTTTTGCTGTTGTTTTTTAGAATCTCCCCTGTTGTATGATATCAAGTAGAATGCGCATTTGCAAATTATCATTCACTTGCTTTCATGTTAGCAAACAATTTTAAGGGAAGCTCTTGTAGGACAAATGGTTAGTCCTTTTTAGATGTGGTAGAGAGTCTCATAGACGTAGGAGGAGAACAAAAAAGAAAAAAGAATGGGGTAGTATGTTCAACATAATATATTCTGAAAGAAAATAAGTAGATATACACTCACATTTTATGGAACCTAATAATGGCTCCTAATATATAGTGTGGAGTGGTCTGACCCTCACTCTGGGATATATGTGGGTGGTGCAGGTCCTCTCCGTATTAAATAAGGAACGAGAGACTATATCAATATAGTCCACATCATTGAGTAAGGGTATAAAAACAGATAAAAACTTAGTTACAGGAAAATTAGCAATTATAGTTTGCTCAATCTTAGCTGCTTAGGTATATATCCCCACCAAGGATATGGAATTCAGGAGGTAAGCATCAGTATTGGAAGGTCCAGGATAAAAAGAGTACGTTATTGGAAATAAAACAATAAAATAATAAAATAATGCTGACAGAAACAAAGACACATTGAACCTTGGAATGTGATGGCAGATAAGAACCATTCGTCCCATCTAGTCTGCCCAATTCTTTAGATACGTTCATTAGTCCTTGGCCAGCTAAAGTGATAGAGGTTGATACAGTGAGGAAGTTTAAGCATGCGTGGGATATAAGATAAGACCAGGGACTAATGAAAGTATTTAGAAAATGTTACAGACTAGATGGGCCGAATGGTTCTTATCTGCCGTCCCATTCTATGTTTCTATAAAAGCAATATCTGTAGCACACTAATGAGTCTCCCCTTACGATAGGCTTTATTAAAGTGTTGATAAATGATAAAGCCTATCAAAAGGTGAAATGCATTAGTGTACTACAGATATTGCTTTTATTGTTTTGCTATATTTTGGACTCTATATGGTCTTTTGGTACTTGGACTTTACGTATTAGTTTTTTTATTGATTTATTCAATTTAGATTTATCTAGACTTACTCACTTTATCTACAGCATTTTATTTAGTACTTCCATGTATTATTTCACATATCAAATACTTATTAAATAATTTTTTTCCTTCTTAATCATTTTATTTATCTGATTTTATCTATTTCATTTTATACCCTTGCTACTATTTATTATTTTATTATTTTTCCTCTTTTATTCTCTAAATGATAGCTCCTGGATACTACACTTCTAGTAGTTTTTACATTGATTTTAACCCTGCCCCCTCTTTCATGGTTATGCACTAAAGTGAGAATTTAAAGAGAATTTCAAATTATGGTGGATTTTTCCAGTTCGGCTATTTTAACCGTAAATTTGACAGTCATTTTGAATTCTCACTTTCGTGAATAACGAAAGTTATTGTGTTTGCAGTCCTGTGTTACCTTTTGACATGGCTGAGCTTATCAAACTTGTAAATTTCAGGTTAATTTCTTCCATTTCTCTCCGTAGAGGTCCTGTGTATTAAGCCCGACCACTCTAAGCCTCGGTTACATACCGCTGTCCTTTCTTCTCTCTGTTTTAGTACTGGTCTGTACTTTGCAAGTATGTGTTCTAGGTTCTCCTGACACTAGATTAATCTTTACGTTTCTTTATTGTTTTTTCTAGATCTATTCTCTGACCCTGAAATAAAACCAAGTCAATCGAATCAGCTGATAAAAGATTCTGCCATGACCCTGACATGTGACACAAGACTTGACCCACCCAAGGCAGATACACAACTACAGTTTATCTTCTACAAAAATGAGCAGAAATTGCAGGAATTTGGTAAATCCAATCAATACCAAGTTAACTCAGTTCAGCCACATCATTCCGGGGATTATACCTGTAAAGTGAGAACTGCAACTGGCAACGTCGAGAAAATTAGCAGAGAAATTCATATTGAGATAGAAAGTAAGCAAAGTGTTAAGTTACAAAGAGTAGTTACAAAGTATTAGACTATATAATACACAGTATATTGCTGAAATGAATGTTGTTAAACAAATGCGTTAAGTAAAAGATTGTTATAACCATATATTGTGAGACGTACATTACACATATAGTATATGTACTACCATCCAAGTCTGAAATATAACACTTAGCTATACTTGACGTCTTAATGAACCATTAAATCCTTGTAGTTTGGATTCTGCTTCCTCCTCCAGAGCTGCATCAATCTATGTCCTGCTATTAAATAGTGCTCATGGCAGCATTTGATTGAAGGAGTGCGGCATCTTGTTGTCTATCTGTATCTCCAATGCAATGCTTCTCTTTGTGAAGCATTGTATTTGATGACATGGCGGAAGATGTCAGCAGGTATCCTGGTGTCTTTGGATGCACAGTGGGTGGCTTTAGCAGAGGAGTCTCAGCACTGGAAATGGGGTAAGTAATTATCTTTGTTTTTTCAAAGCAAAGTGAGATGGACAATTGTCTCAATGATAGAAATGGAACCTACAGTCCAGGAAAAAACTATTGTTATTTTGTGGATTATACATTCCCTTTAATAATAATTATAACAAAGGTAAAATAGTTAATATTGGAAAGAAAATAAATATTTTAGATAGTGGTAACAGAGCTATCTATACTCCAGGCAAGATGGGCAGTTTATAGACAGTAAAGATATGGATCTAAGAATACATGCCAGACAGCCTGCCAATCAAGCAGGCCAGGCCACTAAGAGCGGACAAGAACTATTTCAGTGCTCTCTGCGCCCTTGTGCACTGAGTGTAGACCTTGTGTCCTGAGTGTATATACACATTTTGACGACAATTCCCTGGTGTCCCGAAAAGTCGGGATGTCAGGACATCCCTGAAGTTTCTGCTGAAATCAGGACTGCTGGGAGGACTGGAGTTCCCAGTGCAATTATCCAAACAGGGAGATGTTTTGTAAAAAGGAGAGGCATGTTTTAAAAAAACCAAAAAAAAAACCTGGTTTGAACATAAAGAAAAACATAGCATGATTGTAGGACCAAAGTCTATCAAATGTGCCTGAAGGAACATTATAGGAACCCAGACTACTTCATCTCAATAGAGACCATGTGATTGGCGCTGTACAGTGTTTTTCTGCGCATATGCACTTACATCCCATCACTTTCCTTGGCTTGGCTAAGATATTAGAGCTTGATGATCTCAGCCAAAGAGGTGGAGCAGCATACTGGAGACCAGCACTGCATGGCAGAAAAGGTATGTAAACTCACCTTTTTAACCCTAGCACTGAGGGTTCGATCACCTAAGAGGTAACTAGAGCAACATAGCATTACAAATATACATGTGTACTTCCTAACGCTCTACTGTTGTATTGGTGCTCAAAATGTACCTTTAAGAAAAAAGCTTAAAATAAAGAAGTGCAAAAACACAACTGAATTGATAATGAAATAAAATATTTTGATAACAGTTTTCCTTAATGATTTGTTGTCACCCAGAGTGTCCTTTAATACCAAGCCCTTTGCATTACATTCATACATCAGACTCCACCAATACATAGTATATTCCTTCACAGGTCTTCCCCCAGCTAATGTGATGGTGAGCCTAAAGCCACCCAAAGATATGATCATGGAAGGAGAGAGGCTGGACGTGACTTGCTCTGTAGATATAGGGTCGGAAACAACTGAATTCTCCTGGTGTAAGCAAGATGCGGAAAGTTGTGATGGGAAACAAAGGTCTAATTCACAACAGGTCCAATTTACTGTGGATCCTGTGTTGGAAAGCTACGGTGGAATGTATTACTGCTTATTGATTTCTAACAAATTTCAGACATCGATCCGAAGTGAATCTGTGAGGATATCTGTGAATGGTAAGAGTAAAAATCACAGTCACCTTTATAGTTACAGATCATAGAAAAGTCCTTATTTTCAATCACTAGAACCTGGTGGAAAAACAAATTCTACTAATCAAACAATTGCATCGATTACGAATCAAATTCTGGGATGAGGTTGGGATGCCTGAAAATGTGCTGTTAAGTTGGAAACAAGGCTGCCATCAGATGTTTAGTTGCACACAGTGTCTGTGTAAGGATTTTTGCCATCCTAGGCAAAGATCCATTTTACCATCCCTTTATAAGTGTAACACTAGACTCTATTTGTACGTTATTTACAAAGGTGAGTTTAAGATTTTAAATAGTCAAATTGGAAACATGACCCATGTCAGTTCTAAGATCTAAAATTCACTTCGAATTCACAACAATTTGCTGTTTCACGAATAACTATGTTTCTGTCTCCTACCAAATCTGTTTATTCTTTCAGCCCTATTCTAAACTCTGCTACTTATCTTCGGAGGAGTCAATGCAATCCTGAGATAGTGGTCTGTAGTGGTTATGGTGCTTGGAGTGGTCCTTTAACTACATCCTGCTTTTCTTGTTAGAGACATATTCAAATATTCAAAATGTTTGGTGAGATGATTTTTTAGAATGCGGAGTTATGACTAAGGGGGCAGGTTTTAGCCACTTGACCCATATGAACATGTTAACATATCAAAATAGTTCTGCATTCTCTTTAATTTTATTTCAGTTCTTTTTGACAATTAATTAGTCAACTTGCTTATTCATACCGATATTGCTTTTCTAACAGTGCCTGTGACTGATGCACAAATTCGTGCCGACAGAGACATTCTGGAGATGGAGACTGGCAACAATGTGACATTTACCTGCTCAGTGGAGCGAGGGACTTCTCCTTCCTTCCAATGGAAACATAACGAGGTGCAGGTGAATAATGTATCTGGATTGTACCAGATCCAAGACTCTGGAAAAATATTATATATAGACAATGTCCAGGTTCAGCATGGAGGAACATACCAGTGTTGGGCCAGCAACCAATTCTCAACCAACATTTCCTTCACTGTCAAGAGCAACATCCTGACCATCACGGTCTCAGGTCAGTCCTCCAGGGGGAGTAATAATCTACTAATAGATGACATTAAATGTGGATATTTTGTAGGTATTCTCATGGGCTTTCAGAACTGATAAATGTAGAAGGCGGCACATTTGGCTAAGGACTGATGATAAATGTAAAAACAAAAATGTAGGTGTGCAAAACAGTATAGGAAATAGCAGCCAGAGATATATACTTAGACAGATTATATGGTAAGTATGAATTACACCAATCAGGGGCAGCTTGATCTAGAATACATAAAAGCAAGGAGCTAGTGCAATATTATACAGAAATAATATAAAAGTATGTACATAAGTATTCAACTCACAATTGTGGAGTGGTTGAAGTACCACTCCAAACTATCAGGCACTGGGAGGATCAGTCCCTTGAGGACGTGGGATCCAAATGTAGTGTACTTGATGAACTCACTCAGCCGAAAAGTTGAAGTAAAGGGTATTTTTCTTTATTTCCAAGTAAACATTAAATAAGTAATAAAAAAAATGGTGTTAGAGTAGATCAGATAAAGTCTTTGATATCAGTGGATACACCGTCCAAGTTCCAGCTGATCGCAGACTCTCTATATACGTGCAGTTACTTCCGGATTCAGCGTGCTCCGCATTTCGCCCCACCTATCAGGGATTTCTCAAGCATAAGGATGGATGATAGTCACCAGTGTGCAGCAAGAGAATGGAGGGATAGACAACAGAGACAAGTGCAAAGGTGGGTCAAAGAGACAAACATGGTGAGGGAATAGGGAGATAGACATGTGGGAAGTAATGGGAAAGAGAATGGTAGAGACATGGAGGAAATAATGTGAGAGAGATGTGGGGAGACTTGTTGAAGGTTATAAAAAAAAAAGTAAAGAGACATATGGGGAGTCATGACAGACTAGTGGAGATATGTAGGATGTAATGAGAGAGGAGAGACCGAGGAGAGGTAGGGAGATGCAGACTAAATACATCCTTGCATATACACAAACCACACAAAGTAACCCCTGTATTCATAGATTTATAATACACAGACTCAGTATAACAACTTTGCAACACAACATACCTGCATTTACACACTTTTACTTGACTCAACCTCAAACTTACAAACAAACACTACCATTCTGCACAAACGCATCTCTTCAATTAAAAAAAAAAACATTTCGTATTACTATTTCACGACACATTTGTGCAACTCACAACTATAATATGCATTCACACCCGGTTTTAATACTCACATGTAGAACTCTGAATTCACAAGTACTGACATTCCTTATAAATATGCTCCTGCATTTACACACATTAAATCTCCCAGTCACGTGTCGTGTTCCCCAAGGCTCAATACTCGGCCACTACTATTCATATTATTCATAAATGATCTGCCTAATGTCTGCAAAGCCTCAAACATACACAAGTGCGTCGACGACTCAGTAATCTACGCAAGCAAACCAAGACTAGTTCACAGAGGTAAAAAACTGGATTAAAAACAAAACAAACTCTTCACTGACAAAACTGTCACAATTAGCTTTGGAACAGTATCTAAATTACACAAATTACAAAATTCGCCTCTATGCTTCAGAACAGAATCAAATAACACAATGACCGCAGTCCATTCTTTCAAATACTTAGGTGTGTTGCTAGACCCCAATCGATCTTGTGGCCTCCGCATAGAAAACTATCATCAAAACTTTATCCAGACCTTGGTGCCCTGTACAGAAACAAATCATGCCTAAGTAAAGGAAAAGATTGATCAGCAAATTCTAATGCCGGTCATTGATTGGGGGGTGTAGTGTATGCACCTGCACTACAAACCCACCTTAAAGGGACACTATAGTCATCTAAACAACTTTAGCATAATGAAGGAGTTTTGGTGTATAGATCATGCCTCTGAAGTCTCACTGCTCAATTTTTTGCCATTTAGGAATTAAATCACCTTTGTTTCTGTGACTGACATAGTCTGAATGAAAAAATATGGTTTCGTTTCCAGTCAGGTGTTTATTTTAAACGTTTTTATCTCCTGCTCTGTAAATTGAACTTTAATCAAACACAGGAGGCCCCTGTAGGGTCTAGCAAGCTATTAACAGAACAAGAGATAAACATTTCTGAATGAAACAGAATTTCAATAAAAGAAGTCTAAACATTAGATGACTCTTTAGGAAGTGTTTAGGAAGGCTGATTTAACTCCTAAATGGCAGAGAGTTGAGCAGTGAGACTGCAGAAGCAGGATCTAAACACCAAAACTGCTTCATTAAGCTAAAGTTGTCTTGGTAACTATAAATTGGTAACTATAAAGTTGTCTTGGTAAACTATAAACTCTAATAAACTTACTACATTGTTTAACTTGTAGTGTCACTTTGTGCTACAGTGTAATTACATGACCCACCATTATGACATGATAAAAGAACTAAACTGGCTGTCGCTGGAATCCCGACACATCCTTCATCTTTCCAGCCTTGTGCATAAGAGCTTTTCTGGGAAGATCCCATCCTAGCTGAGCAGAATGTTGTCCCCAGTTGTTTGCACCACCTATAACCTCTGATCTAGTACCAGCACTTTATCTAGCTCAATACAAAAATAAAGTGGCTGGATCCTCCATTTCCTACAGAGCACCTTAATTATGGAATGTCCTCCCGCACACTTTCAAATCTTCCCCCAGTCTAAAATCCTCTCTTTACATACCTCAATACAGAACCTGTCATGGTTGATTATATATTTCTTACCTGTTCTATGTTAAAGGTTTATATGTGTTGTGCATTAATATTGTTTTTGTATTTTTAATATTAGATTGTACCCTGTAGGGTTATCTATGGAGTTAAAGTATTAAAATAATAATTTATGAAAATTATTAAAAGTTTCATAATTTTAGAATACCAAAAAATGTATATTATGGCACTGTAAAATTAATGAGAATTTCCCCAATTGTAATTATATATATTTTAGGCAAGGAGTGCCTGCCTTTATCACTCAAGACTAGAGTTGAGTGAACCCAAACTGAAAAGTTCGGGTTCGTACCGAACATTACATTTTTTGGACCCCGTCGAACATGGACATATCACTCATGTACGGGTTGGAGTTCGGCAATTTAATGATGCGTTTTAAAGGCTGCAGGGCAGCCAATCAACAACCATTTGACTTGTGTGCCCTTAGAAACCATCACAGCAATGCCTACTAATGGCATGGCTGTGATTGGCCAGTGCAGCAAGTGACCCAGCCTCTATAGAAGCTGGTCACTTAGTATTAGTAAATTATGCCCCTACTCGCTATTCCACGAGAAGGGGCATGTCAATTAAACAGTGAGCAGCCTGTGGCGGTGGGTGGGGGCCCTAAATAACAATAAGGGGGGGACCTACTGTCCTCCTGCCCAGCCCCCACCCCTGTGCGGCAGATGGGAACCCTAAATAACAATGCGTGGCGGGTGGAGGCCCTAAATAACAATAAGGGGGGGAACCTAATGTCCTCCCCCCAGCCCCCACCCCTGAGCGGTTACTTAATCCACCAATCAGAGTGCTCTGTGTCATTTTACACAGCGTGGGAAAATTCCAAAGAACTTTCCCACGCTGTGTAAAATGACACAGAGCTCTCTGATCGGTGGGTTTCAAGCCAACCAGAGTGCTGTGACAGGTAAATGTAGAGACTTACCTGTCAGTCTCTTCATTTACCTGCCAGAGCACTCTGATTGGATGGCTTGAACCCACAAATCAGAGTGCTCTGAGCCTAATTGCTGGGTGGGGCAAGTCTTTATAAGCCTTCCCCTGCCCTGCAGAGCTCAGTCTGCGCGGAGCCCTCCATGGGTGAAGAAGGATTTTTTTTTTAAGTGCGTCGGTTATTCTGGATTTTTATTTGGCCTTTTTTGGGGCTGGAAAAAGATGATTTTCGAAGAAAGAAGACATCAAATGGTAAGTCTATTTTTTTAACAGGTATTTAAGGGTCCCCCCTCATTATTTTTAGGATGAGGGGGGTAGGTAGGGGTAATTTGTTTGGGGAGGGGTTGACTAGGGGTTTGGGGATCCTGGGGGGGATTTTTATTTATGGCCCCCATCCACCGCTTAGGGGTGGGGGCCGGGTGGGAGGACAGTAGGTCCCCCCCCTCCACATTCTTATTTAGGGCCCCCACCTGTCGCACAGGGGTATGCGATTTATTATGCGATTTACTAGATACGCCCCTACTTGCGGTATAGCGAGTAGGGGCTGAATTTACTAATACTAAGTAATCGTTACTTAGTATTAGTAAATGTGGCTGAAAAAACTATTTAGGTCTTTCAGCCTTTTGGTAGATAAGACCAAAATACCGTGGGAATTAGGGAGTTATCTACTAAGCGTACAGGAGATAATGGATTCAGTGCTTTGTGTGTCAATGGAATATTATAAAATATTTAGGCTGCAACCTAAAATGGAGACGTTCCCTCACAATGCGTCAAAGGTAGGAGAAAGTATGAGAAATAAAAGTAATTTAGGTCGCGCCACAGAATAAAATAAATAAAAGTAGAGCAAATATGACAAGCATAAAATGAAACACAATCTCTTGATAAAAGACCAAATAGAAGCAATACAATGAGTACTTACATATATAACAAAGCAGTATATATGAACAAATCCTAAAATGAACAGGTAGTTTTTATGTCCACTTAAGAAGTTATAAAAAAGAGGAATAGTCCAAACAAAGAAGTGGTCATCAGATTCTTGTTCCGAGTGGCGATATGTGAATAGAACAGAGGAGAATTCCAATAGTGTATACTGTGGTTGGAGTTTCTTTATGGAGATATAAAACGAAAGAATATCTCACTCACCTATTGAGGAGCTCGAACTAGCTCGGGTATACTTCGCAGTCAGCGGTATTGGTCCCCCGCTGTTGGGATATAGGTGTATGCACGTGAAGAAAATCCTCGAGAGAAAAAAATGTGGTACACAATAGTGCTCACTGTATACTATATATAACGTGAGATAAGCGTATATATGTGTAAATTACTCACATTTTAGTGAGCGGAAATGACTGCTCACTTTGATGGCATAGGTGGT